ATGCGAGCTGCTGCATAAATGTCACAAAAACCTCCCCTTGTCGAGAAAAATCACTTTTAAATTTTGGCTTCATAGGTGCAAATCATCAAAAACCAGGTTTATCAACGAAGTAGTTGATTGCTTCAACAAAGAGAATTAAAAGTACTTTTTGAGAAGTTTTCAATGATTAGTACGCGAGCTTCTTTTCCCACCCTCACTCAAGATCTGCAGTGTTGTTTTCCGACCAACGAATGTTTAAAAACAACTTCAAATTTGTTGCTCTGGACTTCAATTCTGGATTTCAATCAACGAAAAACTGAATTAGCAGCATTATAAATCAGAAAAGCGTAATTCTCGCCTCGATAACCTACGAGTGTTTGTGAACAACCTAAATTTATGCGAGGAATAAACAACCATACAATAAGCCATAGTTCTTTCCATCCTTCTTCCCATGTGTCTGTTCAGAAACACAAAATTAACTTCGCACCCCTTTTCATTTTTTGTATCCCTCCAATCACAAAGTCACGTGGAAAAAACTAAACACAGGAAAAAAAAACTCAGAGGTGAAGCAGAGATTCACACCAATAGCCACACAAAAGTATATGCTTGAGAATGAGGAAAAAATCTAAGAGCAGACAAAAGCCATACTTGCAAAAATGCTTGAACTCCCGTTAGTAGTATATGTTGGATGAATTCAGCCTGGGGGGGGGGGGGGTGGCTGCTGACCGCTATGTATTAACATAGGCTATAGAGCATCCGGTCAGCACCCTATGTATTAGTATAGGCTATAGATTTCCCAATGTATTAAGACAGGGAATAGGTTTTCCAATGTATTAAGATAGCAGGTTTCAGATGGTAAGTTTTTTTCGGCGCTCGAATTTCCCATGTATAGCGTATAGATTTCCCTAAGTATAAAAATTCATTGTAGGGAATTAAGAACTCATTAGGATAGGGAATAGGATTCCTAATGTATTACGATGGTAAGTTTCAGATGGTAAGTTTTTTTCGGCGCACGAATTTCCCATATATAGCGCATAGATTTCCCTATGTATAAGAAATTCATTGTAGGGAGTAAAGAACTCATTAGGATAGGGAATAGGATTCCATATGTATTACGATGGTAAGGTTTCAGATGGTAAGATGGTAAATTTCAGAAAAAAATTTTGGAGCCCGAATTTTTTGACGCTCCATTTTGCCAAAGTTCCAGATCCTAAATGCTTTTTTTATCGAAAAACAATATATTATTAATCCAAACGTAGCGTTAAAAAAGAATTTTTGAAAAAAGGTTAATTACAGAAAATCTATTAATTCACAGCATCGTACACAATTTTACTACATATTGTCTTACAATTTTAGAGGTTTAGTATGTATTCCATCATATTCAACTTCCCGTTTAGGGTAAAAATAGCTCAGTACTTTTTTTAGTTTGTTCATAAGTTGCGACTGCATGGTTAATCGTTTTGAATCCTCTATTTGTTGACTTCAAATTCACTGCCTCATCCAAAACTTGTCGATACTTTGCCATCGGGCCATCTCCAGAGTCTTCTAATGCGCGTTTGTTCCCTTTACTGCTAAACTTATACTTTTGACTTTTACTATCATAACATCAAAAGATTTCACTACACAGGCATAACATTTCGGTGCATCTGAAATCCTCCTTGAGCAATCCTGGTTCTCTCTTGTCATGTTTCTTATGTTTAGAGCAACAAGTACGTGGGAAAAAGTTGTTTTTCGCATCTGCTCTGAAATCGACTCGACAGTCCTGGCTTCGCTTTTCAGTCCATTCTGCTCGCTTGCTGGGAAGGATAAATTCATCGTAATCTTCTGCCAGAGCCAAAATGAGGGAATCTGTATCCATTTCGAGTTCTTCGAATTTGTTGACATCGCAAAATTTATCGAAAAAGTTATAACAGAGCTCCAACACTCTCAACTTGGCATACTGTAGTATATAGAACCCTACTATAATTGGTTCAAGATGCTCTATAGTAGATTTAAAAAACTCCATTTCATACAAATCTTTTCTACGATATTGAGTCTCTTGAAGAATTGGTTATTGATAGCTTAGTGTGTTTTTTCCTCTCCAAGATATTTTGTCATTGTATGTTTTGATCTGTCCATTATTTGATAGCCGTAGAAACACGTTCGTTGAAGTTTCATTGTTTCGGCTACTACGCCAGATAATGAATTTTCATCGCCGGCTCGCCTAGCATCAACAACAGACTGAACAAAGCTGTTGAATACTTTACGCGGTGTGTATTGTACAAATCGATGAGTTTTTGTACACTGTAGTCCAAGATCCAAGTAAAAGTTGAAAAGTGGTGTGATCAGTGTTCAGTTGGTCAACTTGAAGCTCGATATCAACATTCGTTGCGGTTGTTCTAACAAATTGTTTTCTTCCGCATATGTTTTCATATAATCGTCAATATCGTTTCTGGTAATATTAATATTTTTGAAGTTAGGTGGGAAATCGAAAAATTTTGCTTTTAGCTCATCTGGCACACTAAGATCGCATTGCAAGTAGCCGAACATTGTTTCATTACTTATGTACTGCACCAGTGAATTGACAGAAAGAGGTCTTGTGAAGAGAAAGTGAGTTGTTACGTGATTTTTTACGTCTACATTGTTTTTAAATTGATCCCACCAACTTCACTCCCACTTTTCTTCTACAGAGTATCCTTTTTCTCGAATGTAGTCTTTTCGAAGCTCATCCAATTCTCTTTTCTCGATTCCTCGTTTGATATCATCATCAGTTAAGCTCCGTCTAGCTTCTTGACAAGGGCAAAAATGGAAATAACAACCCATTGCTTCAAAGACAGTCTTACAATGGTTGCAAAAACCATCAACACTAAAGCAATCAATTTTTACTGGGTTCCTGTAGTGTAGTAACTCTTAATTTTGCATTCAGGTCTGGTTGCTTGAAAGTATGACACGACCATATTTTCAAACGTTCGAACTCAATTCTGCCTTGCCTTGACTTTTTGTGTTTCTTCATCGTAATCCCATCTTGTATACAAGTCTGTGGGCATATCCTGACACATAGAATAAGGATAAAGTTGACTAGCATCAATACTAACGATTGATTTACACAAGTTGTTTGATTTTGGAGTAAACGTTTCGTTTGCTCCTGCTTTCCTTGTGAAAACAATAGAGGGACCACCGGTCATATCTTCCCGTATTTTTTCAATCAAAACACTATCACTAGAGAAGACTGGGTTAAACTTATAGTCGGTTGACTCGTGTAGACAGATATTGACTAGATTCGGTAGTGTGCAGCCGAGCTTTAACATGTCTATCCCTGTTTCATGATAAAATTCAATCCATTTTCTGCATAGCTTCAAGGGTAATAAGGCCACGACAAACATATTTGGTCTTCATACTCAACCTCGTAAAACCACTCGTTACACTAATATTTTGAAACTCGTGTGAGATGGGGGGGTAGGAAAAAGAGCCATTAGCTTTCGCGTTGGATTGGATTTTGAAAACTTGTTTGTTTTTCGAGATAGACGATAGATTTTTGTAATTTACAGTTTTTGAAGTGTCAATAAACGAAGTGAAGGCAAGACAATCAATCAAATTGTGCGTGTTTTTTGTTTGTTTGTTTTCGGTGAAAAATCCTAATACTTGCGCACGCTCAATTTTGTTGTTGTTGCTGTTTTAATTTTTGATTTCGTTTTAATTTCTATTCATATTAGTCTGTATGTAAACTTTCATAGCAATCGGACAATGTGGTGAACAAAATTACATGTAAAAATTTGCAGGTGGGGGGGGGGGGGGGGGGGGCGGAAAGGAAAAAGAGCCAAGCTACTAACTAAGTAACCGTTAATAGATAACTTGCCTTTACCACTTCCCTCTCCCCCATTTCAGATTTTCCAACTTCATAGTTGTTTTACGAGTTATAATGGCTAAATGTACAGTGTGATTCATGAAGAAAAATTCTGTTCACAATTTTTAGTTTGTTCACCATGCCAAGTTTCATTGCATCATGAGCATGTTGTGAGTGGGGTAGTGGAAAAGAGCCGATAACTTTAAGACAAGGGAAAAATTAATCCTGTAACAAATTGCCAAAATTGAATATAAGGCTCTTTTCCATTTGATATGTTTTTGGAATAACAATTTGCACGCAGTCATAATGCAAGGAAAACTTACATGGTGAACAAGTTTGTTCATCCTACTTCATATCGTAACACCACACCCGCATTTTCTCATAAAAACACGTGAAACAACTGCAAAATCAGAAAATTTGAATTGTGCGAGGGGGAGAGCCGAAAACTTTGTGGACGGTTAATTCTCAAAACACAAACACAAGGTGAGGAAAAATCAATTTAGAATACAATCCTTAAATCAATCGTCACATCAATCAAGTACAAATATATGAGTGGGTGGTATTATCCGGTTACTGTTACAATACATGTCACGAACATGACATGTCCAATTGCACACCAAATGAAACTTCATCGTAGCACGTAAAGCACATGTCCAGGCAAGAAAGTTGTCGCGTTCAGAAACGACGGATAATTATCGAATGAGTAAATGCAAAATTACATATTTAAACTTGAGAAAAGAGAAAAGCCGTGGGGCAACAAGAGGCAGCAGCAGCTGTGCTGCAAGGGCTACCAAGGCACATCACCGCAGTCGCCGGCGCCACGTTAGAACCTGTGATCCGGCAGTCGGCGAGCCAAGTGACGGACGGAGGAAGAAGAGTTACACTTTGGAAAGTGGAGTTAGTTAGTAATGAGGAGGAGATATAAAGATAAGGCAAAGCGAACACATTCAATGTTTTGTTGCACGTTCTACTACACGAAGAAAGGTCAAATATTACAAGAACATCTACATGAAGCAAGCGATTAAAGGTTGGGTGGAGAATTTACAAATCATCACTTACAGCAATTAGTTTATTGTACTGGCTTTACAAATCAATTATCAGTTACGTCAGATCAGGAAGAAATTGACTCAGCCAGATGATTATTAAAAAAAAACCAGTTAGATGTAACAAAATACCAGACATTACTGATTTTCTTCTATCATTCTTTCAAAATAAGCATTCGCTGAAACTGGCTAAATCAATTTTCAGAACTTTTCGTATCAAAATTCTACAAAACGAAGCTATTAAGTCACTGAAATGGAGAAATGTTTCTGATCAAATATAAACTTAGAGAAAATGCTGAATAGCGTTTTCGTGAAAAATAATCTGCAAAAACTGAAAGCAAATCACTAGGCACACAATTTGCAGACAAGCATGAAAATGGTATAAATATAAAAATATAATAAGATATCGAAACATGACTTGCTCCGGTCACACTAAATCGAAAGTTAAATACATACTGAACGAAAAACAAAACATAGTACCACGAGAGATGAAATTTAGTTTCATATCTTTCGAACGATATGTTCAAGTTTAAGGCGTTTAGTGTCGTACGTCAAAAGTAGTAAAGCGGTTTTCAAGTTTTTGAAGCACCATTCATTTTGACATTACATTCAACGTAATTATGTCAAAATTGTCCAAACGCAGCAGAGACATTGATCACTGGCGAGGCAATTGTGTTCGCGTGATTAGATAATGAAGCATTTGAATTAGCAGCGACGCAGTTGTTTAAAGTTGCTACGAGTTGTTGAGCTGAGGCAGCGGACATTGTCGGGGCTCCTGGAGCAGCCGAGGCGCCCAACGACATACCCCCGGCCATTTTTACTGCTGCGTTAATAAATGACCCTGAGGCGGCAATTGTGGCAGGCGATTTAGGCGTAACAGGCGTGCCCATGTTCGGAAAAGCGTTCACATGAGGGTCGCCGAAGCCTGGCAAAAATCCACTGAGTCCTGGACTGGCTTTGCCCTTTTGCACTATGCTTCGGATTTTCTTCTGGGCACTCTAAAAAACAACATTAAAGTCTAGCATCAAATACAGAAGCAAAATTTCTATTACAGACAAGAGAAGGGAAGAGAAGCGATAGGACAGATGATAGGAGGAATCCAAAACAAACAGCCCGGACCTGAAGAGCCCAGAAGTGTCCGAGCAACTTGACCAACATCACGTCACTGTTATCTTTACAGTCCGCGTGATGAATCATACCATTCAACAGCATTGCACAATTAGCTGCTGATGCGGACTTATTACACGAGGAGCAACCCATATCCTCTAGAGTATTGGCCATCGGAACCTCGATAATTGCATGTGATTCCCGCTGCAATTCCAGCACCTTTTTGCCTTGCTTGCCGATTATCCTGCCCACCATGATGACAGGAATAGGCAGTTCTACGGTGACTATGGGCCACTCGCCTTGAGTGAAGCCGTCAGTCCTTAACTTCTCAATTATCAGCCACTGTGCTTTCCACTGGGCGTCAGGGGTACCTACTACTGTTATACGTCTTTGATCCTTCAAACCGAACATCAAAATAAAAAAAAAACATTTCAACAGCCTTAATTCTAGGGATTTGAAAAGTGGGAAAAATCGTTGAATTTATCGGCCATCCACGAAGTTGAAAAATGATGAAGGGGAACGACAATTAGGCGTGGCAAACAATGGGACAAAAATACGTCAGTATCAGGGATAGACTTAATGAACCTGATGATCACTTTGCGTGTCCACTGTGACTTGTGCCTGGGACAGCTGTTTAATCATGTGGATGTTCGCTCCCCTGTTGCCAATGATAGCACCAACCGCACCATGGTGAATATACATGTAGGTCGTTTCCTGGACCATCACTGGCTAAACGTCAGCAATCCCATATTGTGTATAAGGCAGCAAAACTTGTCCGTATCGAAGAAGATCAACCATATTTCTTTCACCAAAATGTTATTTTTACCATTGTTATTTATGTTTTTGTCTACTGGCTAATTAAATAAAATTTTTGGATATATAAAAAACTAGTTCCAAGCTAATTACGGTAGAATTTTGTTTTTTAAGCGCCAATTTGAGAATCAAAAAGTTTCTGCAAAAAAATTTGGAATTTTTTTTGAATTATTATAACGACTTTTGTTCGTTTTTCTACAAAATCTGTTTTCCATTTGGCCTATTTCATCACTATGATTGGCTAAAATATCTAATGTTTTTTTTTCGCTCAGATCTTTTATCACACCATGCAGAAAAACGACACTAAATCGAAAAAAAAAAACTTTTTTTTGTATTTTTTAAAATTGTTTCTAATGAAATAAAAAGAAATAAATTTTTTTTGAGAATCTAGAAATTTCTTAATGACCTAGTATCTTTCATGAAATTTTTAAGGCATAGCTAGTTTGCAAGGATGCTTCCCGCAACTGTTGCCTCAGTGAAACCCTTAAGGTTAAATTCGATCGGTTAAGTATTCGAGAGAGTTTAAAAAAATGTCAAAAAAACGGACCAGAAGTCAAAACACCGATTTTACGAGGGCCATAACTTTTTTTGTAAGAAAATTTGAACAACACCGCTTATACAGGAGAACTTCTCTTAGCCCCTCCTTTTGATTGAACCCAAAATCTCAGGCGTCTAAAAAACGGAAAACACATTGTTGAAAAAAATCTTATTGAAAAAAAAATATGTTTGCCACTTGCGGTAAAGCAAACATATAAAAAAAATTTGCCGGAAAAAAATTTAAAATGTTGAAAAGCATTTGGTGAACCGTTGGTGAACCTGGAGAAGCGCCCATTTTGCACGCATTAAGTGAGGAGATGATTTTTTGAACCAACGTACTTGAAGAAAAAACTTTAAATATACTTCAACAAAAAATACTTCTCCCACTTTTGAAATTTCAGAAGAATTTAACAGCAGCAAGCTGGAGCACCCCTCATAGAGCTGCCAGTGTCCTGACTTGGCTTAAATGAAAGTTCGAGAACCGCATTCATTTCTCACAAACAGGTATTCTGTAGCGTCCTCCAGATTCCGGACTTGAATCCTTTCGACCATTGTTACTCGAGTTCAGAAGTTGAAAAAGAGAACCCATTGAATTTATTGATTGCATTGAAAAAGTGTCTGCTATTTTTGGAGCCGACTAAATCCGCGGTGTAGCTCAAAATGTTGGAAAACTAACACAATCTATTTCAAATGACGGTGGACAAATCCAACAACTTTCGGAAAAATGCGAATAAATTTTGACAGGCGCGAAGCAGAGCTTCGCACTACTTGCGATAAAGCAAACATATAAAAAAAAATTGCCGGAAAAAAATTTAAAATGTTCAAAAACATTTGGTGAACCGTTGGTGAAGCCAAATTTTTGTATTTCTTGATAAAAAAACAACTAAGGGCCCCACTAAAGCTGGAGGTACGTGTTTGATAATTTTTGAATTTCTTATACTGATGCGGGAGGAAATGCGTAATTTCAAGACTTATCGTCGACAAATCCAAAATTGGACTTTCCGAAATTGATTAAATTTTTCTATAAAAAAGCAGGTCGTGGCGACTAAGTAGAGCAGATTCTCAAAACCGGGTTTCCCGATTGAACACAGCCTGAGAATAGGCAGAGTAGTTCTCGCGTAACTATCCAAAAAACGGTCGCAGCTTTAAAATTTTGACTTGTTTCAGGCATAGCCAATTATAAAGATAGGCTTTGAACAACCCGTTCATTCGATCAAACCTATGACATCAGATTTGGCAGGATAAATATCAAGAAAAGTCCAAGAACAAATAATGAAAAAATTCGCATTTCCGAGAATCATGGCCTTTTGTATAGAAAAATTTGAGCATAGCCGCTTATGCAGACGAGATTCACTTGGGAGGGGTGTTCTCGAGAAACGGTCCAAAAAATCAAACCTTTGACCATTCGAAGGGCCATATCTTTATGTGTGAAAAAAATTGGGCCTAGCCGCTTATGCAGTAAAGCTTTTCGAATCCGTTCTGTTCATTGAAAGCAAAATCTCAGATTTGACAGTATCTTTTGAGAAAAATGTCAAAAACATGGACCAAATATTTCCCTACATACGTTTTCGAAGGCTGTAGACGGAGGGGTAAATTACAATATGCAACACACAAGCAACTACCATAACAATTGCTAACAGCACAAAAAAACTAAGTGATGTGGTAACTAAGCCGACAAAACATAAGCAGACAAACGAAAGTCCGACAATTCAATTTTTGCCACAAATATTTCTTCAATTGCATACACACTGAAAAGAAAACAAGGTCCCACCAGCAGTCGAACCCCCGGCCTTAGGGTGCAAAAGCAAGGCGTTAGCTCTAGGACAAATGCAAAGGAGCCCGGAAAGTTTCAACCTTCAATAAAAAGCGAGTTTACGTAAGTTTGTAAGAAAAATAGTTTACGGTAAAAAAAAGTCTAATTCCCGATTACAAGACACTTGCGTTCGCAATCGTAGTAAATGATAATATCTATTCCAGCTGCTTAGAAAAATTCGAAGCTTTTTCTGTTACTGATCGAAGTGAAACTTTTGATATTTTCGAACTATCGATTCGTAAGGTAAGCATTTTTATTGCAATTACCGCGTGTATGTGTGCACTCGTTTCTTATGAACTTTCTGGCGAATTGCTAAAAAAATGGCTATTTAATGATTTTCAATGGTCGCAATAGAGATATGTCTGCAGCTGTTTTTTGTATCTTGCTTAAGCGTTCAATTCATTATCTCACGAATTTTTGTAACACTTTTCGAAAAATCGTCAACAGGCACTATAATTGACAAATAAAACATTCGAATAGGAAATCTTGAATCGTGGAGTGCCACAAGGGATAGTTCAAGGACGAAAAATTTTCACCCTCTATGTTAAAGATTTCCATTCAATTTTAAATTATCAAAATCAAGATATTCAATTTGCAGATGATACCAGCCTGACGGTGAGCCAAAAATCTTCAAAATTATTGCAGGAGCACACAAAAAAAATGCTAGATGAGGCCGACGCTTACATTTAAAAGAAGCATCTCTTTCAATTTCGATAAAACAGAATTTCTTTTATATAACTGTGAAAATAGTATAGACTCACTTTTTCATATTGATCACGAAATTAAAGTTTGAACCTGTTGAAGTCTGTTAGAATCATTCTTGAGTGTTCAGAGCTTATAAAAATTTTATCGGACAACGTATTAAACTTTTGAATCAAGTCTGACCTTCAATTTTGAATTAAACCGAAACACTTACTGAAGTTTCGCGTTTTCCTTTTTGTCGGCGTTTTGTTTTTTTTTGCTCTAAATATTACATGGCAAATCGTCGTTGAAAGAAAAGTTTTTTTAATTCGGTTCTTGAAATTATGCAAAAATGGGCTCTTTTTCGTTCCTCCCCTCTTTTTTTAGCTCCAAATCACAATTGAATTTCAATTGAACACAGCAAAAAAAATTTGATCATTTCTTGGAATAGTTTTGCTTTTCAATTTTCTAAGGAAAACTATACCACCTTTATTCTTTTCGATTTTCAAGAATCTTTTTTAATTGATACTTTGGCTATTTCCAACCCCCCCTCTCCCACGCATTTGAATTTAAATTTTGAAAATTTCAAGTTAAATTAAGTTCAAGTTGAAATAAAGTAAATTTGCATGGAGAACAAATTAATCATTGAGAACAATTTTTTTAATTCAAACTGCAGGCTCTTTTCCAGTTCCCCCCTTCAAATTTAATTTTGAAAAGCTTATTTAACGTTGTCATAATGCAATGAAATTTGGCGTGGTGAACAAATCGACAACTGTGAACAGATTTGTTCTTCATACTTTACAGCATAACATCACGCATTTCGCCGTAATAACATGTAAATCAAACATGAAACTCGGTATTTTGAAAAGGGGGGACTGGAAAAGAGCCAAACTGCATTATAACAGCACGCATTGAGTTCAAGTTGAAATAAGTTCAAGTTAAAAAAAAAAGCAAATTTGCATGCTGAACAAATTAATCATTGAGAATATTTTTTAAATTCAAACTGCATTATAAACAACACGCATTTAACCGCTGAACACGTTAAACAACTATTCAAGTTGATTAATTGAAATTTGGAGGAGGGGGTGGAGAAGCCGATAATTTATCGCTAAAATTGACCAAATTTGAGAAAACTGGTGCAAAACGAAAATTTCTATTCCTCTGGGACATCTATAAACTAATTTCTCCTTTCAAAACCAGAAATTGTTCACGTTTTTAGCTATTTTCAAAATCGCAATTTCTGATTTTTGACTCGTTTCAATTCCGCTTCCACATTTCAAATTTTTAAGTTTCTTAGTTGTCTTACGTGTTATTATAGCTGAATGCCGCTTTACAATCAACGCACACTGTAGATTAACTAGTTTTCTTTATACAACAAATTTCACGTAATGATATTTTCTTAAACTGCGTATGAACGCATGCAAGTTGACTAAATTCCATTTGCGAAAAATCAAAGTTGAGCGAAGACAAACAATAAGACATTTCCTGAAAAAAAATCACCAAGACTAAGTATGAAAAAAAACAAATCTGTTCACAATTAGTTTGTTCAACATGCAACATTTCCTTACATTATGACAACGTTAAAGGAGTGTTTCAAAACTGAAAATCAAATGTGGGGGGAAGTGGAACAAAGCCAATTTTTATGAAACTTAATTTATGAAAATCTATCTAAAAAAATTGTCATGTTATAAGCTGAATTAAAACGTTTAAGCGTGAACAAGTGAACAGATTGTTGTAAGATTTCTTACATGCAAAATGCAGAGCGAACAAGTTTTGAACAGCTTTACGTATACATTTTATGAGGGGTGCGAAATGGAAAAAAACCGTGGCTCTTCTCCAGTCCCCCTTTTAATGTTTTCTGAAATTTAATATAAAAAGTCTATTTAAAACGAATTTTCATGTTAAAAACTGCATCAAAACGTGTGGAAAACTGGAAAAGAGTCCGTTTTTTGCATCATTTCCGCTTTCGTGATTGGAGAAAACTGTTTGCATTGTTTTTAGCAAATGAACTTTAACTCGAATCAAAAAGATATAGAACTAACTCAAATTAATGCATGAAACAAAATGCACTAATCCCTATTGAACTCATACCTCTTTGATTTTCAAGAACCTGCTCTTTTCGTTTTTTGTTTAATTTTTCTTGGAATTTGATTTGTTAAAGCTTATTTGACATAATTTTTGATGTTCTAAACTGCTACAAAACGTGTGAGCGTAAAAAATTTACTAGTTTTGTTTATACAACAAATTTCACGTAATGATATTTTCATGAACTGCGTATGAATGCATGCAAGTTAAATAAATTCCACTTGCGAAAAATCAAAGATGAGCGAAGGCAAACATTAAGACATTTCCTGAAAAAAATCACCAAGACTAAGTATGAAAAAAAAAACAAATCTGTTCACAACTAGTTTGTTCATCATGCAACATTTCCTTACATTATGACAACGTTAAAGGAGTGTTTCAAAACTTAAAATCAAATGTGGGGGGAAGTGGAACAAAGCCAATTTTTATGAAACTTAATTTATGAAAATCTATCTAAAAAGAATTGTCATGTTATAAACTGAATCAAAACGTTTAAGCGTGAACAAGTGAACAGATTGTTATAAGATTTCTTACATGCAAAATGCAGAGCGAAAAAATTTTGAACAGCTTTACGTATACGTTTTATGAGGGGTGCGAAATGGAAAAAAACCGTGGCTCTTCTCCAGTCCCCCTTTTAATGTTTTCTGGATTTCAATATAAAAAGTCTATTTAAAACGAATTTTCATGTTAAAAACTGCATCAAAACGTGTGGAAAACTGAAAAAGAGTCCGTTTTTTGCATCATTTCCGCTTTCGTGATTAGAGAAAACAGTTTGCCTTGTTTTTAGCAAATGAACTTTAACTCGAATCAAACAGATATAAAACTAACTCAAATTAATGCATGAAACAAAATGCACTAATCCCTATTGAACTCATTCCTCTTCGATTTTCAAGAATCTGCTCTTTACGTTTTTTCGTTTAATTTTTCTTGGATTTTGATTTGTTAAAGCTTAATTGAAATGATTTTTGATGTTCTAAACTGCTACAAAACGTGTTAGCGTAAAAGATTAACTAGTTTTGTTTATACAACAAATTTCACGTAATGATATTTTCATAAACTGCGTATGAACGCATGCAAGTTGACTTAATTCCATTTGCGAAAAATCAAAGTTGAGCGAAGACAAACATTAAGACATTTACTGAAAAAAATCACCAAGACCAAGTATGAAAAAAAAAAATCTGTTCACAATTAGTTTGTTCAACATGCAACATTTCCTTATATTATGGCATTGTCAATGAAGTTTTTCAAAACTGAAATTCAAATGTGGGGGGAAGTGGAACAAAGCCAATTTTTATGAAACTTAATTTATGAAAATCTATCTAAAAAGAATTGTCATGTTATAAACTGAATTAAAACGTTTGAGCGTGAACAAGTGAACAGATTGTTATAAGATTTCTTACATGCAAAATGCAGAGCAAACAAGTTTTGAACAGCTTTACGTATACATTTTATGAGTGGTGCGAAATGGAAAAAAGCCGTGGCTCCTTTCCAGTCCCCCTTTTAATGTTTTTTGAAACTCAATATAAGAAGTCTATTTAAAACGAATTTTCATGTTACAAACTGCATCAAAACGTGTGGAACAATGGAAAACTGAAAAAGAGTCCGTTTTTTGCATCATTTCCGCTTTCGTCGGAGAAAATTGTTTGCATTGTTTTTAGCAAATGAACTTTAACTCGAATCAAACAGATAGAAAACTAACTCAAATTAATGCATGAAACAAAATGCACTAATCCCTATTGGACTCATACCTCTCTGACTTTCAAGAATCTGCTCTTTTCGTTTTTTCATTTAATTTTTCTTGGAATTTGATTTTTTAAAGCTTATTAGAAATGATTTTTGATGTTCTAAACTGCTACAAAACGTGTTAGCATAAAAAACTTTTAAAATGTGATAATTTTTCCTAGATGCAAATTGCCGTATCAACAAATTATGAGCAATTTTAAAGTTGTTAAGCGAGGAACTCGAAAAGAGCCCAAGAATCGTTTATAATTGACATTTTTCCGCTAAAGTAGACCCAATTTGAGAGAACTGCATTAAACCAAAAAGTTTTGATTCCGCTGGGAAATTTATTAGCTCTAATTCACATTCGTTTTTTGCGCCAATTCCTTCTCTTAAAAAGAGAGCATTCTTTATCTTCCTTTCAGCAAACGAATTTCAATTAAACTAAAAAATCGAAAAAACCTTAACCATTGCAATATACGATATATCTTAAACTTGCAATAATTCATTTGTTAAACACGTAAAACAATACGTTGAATAAGCTTGAACATGGCGAGATAGTGAAGCCTGCATTTAAATATATAATAGAAGATAGATGAAAGTTTAAAAATTAGGAGACGGGTAGACAGACATAATCAAATTAATTAAAAGAGAAGGTATACAGACAGATTGACAGACAGACTTAATTTGGCCCCGAAAAAAAATACTGAAAAATTAATGACCGTGCGGAAAGCTAAATGAAAACTTTTCTTAATTTTCTTAAGCATTGCAATATATGATATAGCTTAAGCATGAAAAAATTCATTTGTTAAATATGAGAAATTTTTATGCTTAAACATGGGAGATAGCTGTTACTCGCATTTAAATATAGTATAGATTAAATATAGTATAGATAGATACAGATTTCAAAAAAAAATGAAAAATCAAATTCGAAGTAACTCACCCACGCATTTTTCCATTAACCCACTCCCCTCGTAAAACTAGACAAATTCATTTTAAATAGACTTTATATTGAATTTCAGATAACATCAAAGGGGGGGGGGGCGGAAAAGAGCCTTAGTTTATTTTTCCTGTCAAAAAAACGTCACAACCATGTCATATTGCAATGAAACTTCTCGCAGTGAACAGAGTAACTAATGTGAACGGATATTTTCTCCATACTTCACAGCGAAATATCACGCAATTTGTTTTAATAACACGTCAACAAACTGTAAATAGAAATTTCGAAATAGCACGGGGACACTAGTCTGCTCGGGGAAATTTCAACATCGTGTTAACGAAGTAAACGAAAAGCGAAAAAACTAAATCCCTTTAAAGGTTTCGGCATTTCAATAATTTGTTACAGTTCACATCTTTTTGAAAGAAACCGACTCAATTTTTAGGAAAATTGGATCAAAAGTTAAATTTTTAGGGCTTTTTTCCAATTTCCGCCCTACCTCTCACTTTTTCTACTTTTATAGTTGTTTTTCATGTAATTATGGCTATATGGGTAATGTGGCGATGTAAAGTACGAAAAACAGATCTGTTCACAATTGTTAGTTTGTTCGCCATGCCAAGTTTCATTGCATCATGACAATAATAAAGTCATTTTTCAAAACTAGAAATTCAAAGGTGCGGGGGGTTGTGGAATATACTTTTTTCTTCGTCTTAAATTTAAAATCTAGTAGGAACTTCATTTCATACTAATTCATCATAATAACACGTAAAAAAACTATGGAAAAATTGAAATATGGGGAACCGGGAAAAATCCAGTTCCCCCTTTGGTTTTTTCCGAAATTTTGTTTGTCTGTTTAAATTGACTTTTGGACTCTTTTCCAGCCCCCCTTCGTAAAATTGCAAACAAGCTGCTCAAAAATTGTTCACACGGCATTTTGTATGTAAGAATTGTTGTACATATTTGTTCACCTGTTCACGTTGACGTTTCACAGCAATTTATAACATGAAAAGTCATTTTAAATAGACTTTCATATATTGTATTTTAGAAACAATTAAAAGGAGGGAACTGGAAAAGAGCCGACTTTTGATGTTCTATACTGCCATCAAGCGTAGTCGCGTGAACAAATTTATTACAAAATTTCTCACATACAAATTGCCGTATGAACAAATTTTAGGTAGTTTTATAATGCAATTTTACCAGGGGGGGGGGGGGGGGCGGAAAACAGCCGAGCGGCCGTATCATCATTCGTCTTTGTTAAATTTGTAACTTATATAAGTGAAATAAGGAAATCTAAAGAACACACTTAGACAGTTGTACGCAGCTTGGATTCTATTAATGAATATAAAACATGTCAAGTAAAAACAGCGGTTCTCGCTGAAAAGCCCGTATGTTGGCCCTTTCCCTTGTATAACTGATCCCTTATTAACTGAATCTTAAAAACAAAGCGCTTTATTTGGGCAATGGAAAACTACAATGTACCTCTTGTCCCTGCATCTGCTCGAAGAAAATTGGAGGAACAGGCAGAGGTGGCACATTGAGCTGGCCAGTGCCAAACGACGCATTCACTTGTGATTGAGGCATGAACTGCGCACCACCATGTCCACCCAACATCGACGGAATAGTCTGATAGGTCGAGGGTAGAGCCGCCCCCAGACGGGCAAGAGTGAAGGGATCAGTGGGTGCTACAGCCTGCGACGTCAGGAACTGATGCGCGTAGGATGGTGGAGGCGCCGCACCCATGAAAGGGTTCCCGAAATGGGACCATCCATTTGTGGGGTAAAGAGACTGCATGTTGGCTTGTTGCTTCTAAAATTCACTTCGCCTGATGCTATGCCTTCCCGCACTTTTCGATATAAATTGCCGCAAATTTATGAACACAGAGGTTAATGTCAATTGTGCGGTAAATAGGAAATAAGTTTAAAAAATTATCCAAGATGCGAGCGAATATAATCAAGAAGAAAGTCAGAAACGAGAGCAGAACTGAGAGTCAAATCATCTGATGAAGAAATGACTCACATTGAAAAGTCTGTGAGTAGAACACAAAAGTTCGGGAAATTAGAAATCATGCATTCGAGCTCGAGGCATCGAATCTACGTCTCAAAAGGAATTCTAGCTCTAAATATACACCAAAATTTACACAAGTTTTACTTCAAATTTTGGATTGAAATATGAACAACTGGTTATTAACCGAAGGATAAAACCAAACATCCAACCCCCTCCCCTTCCCCCAAACATGCATTCATTTGACATTTGAATCTGCAGGCACCAACACGTGATGTTTGCTGTTCTATAGAACTATGCCAACTATGAGCACCGTAATACACCAACCCCGCATGGGTAAAAAAAATTACGGCTCTTTTTCCTTTTCCCCCCGAAAACGAACATCAGTTTTATGGTCTAACGAGTGGTTTTACAAGCTTAATGGGTTTGCTTCATTCTGGGGCGGGTTGTAATCTCACATGTGTTTGCATTAATATCAGAACCCCTAAAATAATCTCTAAAACTTTGCACCAAAATTTCAACACCCCCATCAGAAGGATGCAAACCATCCGAGCTGAGCGCATCGGTATTTTGACTAAAATTTTTGTTTATGTCTAAAATATCCAATTTTACTTCGCCCAAGTGGGCATTAATGGGCATTATGTAGCCAAAAAATCAGAATGCAAATATTTAGGCCTTATTCTTGATTCAAGTTTATCTTTTCATGCTCAAATCAAAACAATTCTCCAAAAAATGGCACAAGGAATTAAAACTATAGATACAATTGGACATTGTTTTTACATTTTTTGATACAGTTTTTGGCTCTTTTTCCTTTTCCCCCCACCTCACTCAAACATGAACTTTATGGTCTAACGAGTGGTTTTACAAGGTTAATTACGAAGACCAAATATGCTTGTTATGGCCTAATTAGTATGCATGCCAATTGTCACGACAATCGGACAAAGTGATCGGAAACTTCAAATATGAAAATTTGCAGGTGGGGGGGGGGAAAGAAAAAGAGCCCAGTTTTTGATAGACATTTATGCAAAAAAGTGAAAAAATTTTCCGAATCGTCTCAAAACAAAATAAAGAAACCCAATCCCAAACATTTTCAAAATACCTGTTTTTATCAAACAAGAAATCTAGGAAAACATGCCAAGCAAGTCATTTGAGTTTAAAAAATGGCAACGGAACAAAACTTCCGAAGCGGAAACCAAGCCGACAATCTATAAGCAGACACCGTTGAGCCGAAAACCAAAAAGAGCTTATACGAAAATTTTAAAAAGTTTCAAGCTCCCCTTGAAATTACAATGCAACACACAAGCAACTACCATGACAATTGCTAACAGCACACAAAAAACTCAGTGATGTGGCAACTAAGCCGACAAAACATAAGCAGACAAACGAAAGTCCGACAATTCAATTTTTGCCACAAATATTTCTTCAATTGCATACATACTGAAAAGAAAACAAGGTCCCACCAGCAGCCGAACCCCCGGCCTTAGGGTGCAAACGCAAGGCATTAGCTCTAGGACAAATGCAAAGGAGCCCGGAAAGTTTCAACCTTCAATAAAAAAAGCAAGTTTACGTAAGTTTATAAGAAAAATAGTTTGCGGTAAAAAAAGTCTAATTCCCGATTACAAGACACTTGCGTTCGCAATCATAGTAAATGATAATATCTATTCTAGCTGCTTAGAAAAATTCGAAACTTTTTCTGTTACTGATCGAAGTGAAACTTTTGATATTTTCGAACTATCGATTCGTAAGGTAAGCATTTTTATTGCAATTACGGCGTGTATGTGTGTACTCGTTTCTTATGAACTTTCTGGCGAATTGCTAAAGAAAAGGCTATTTAATGATTTTCAATGGTCGCAATGGAGATATGTCTGCAGCTGTTAAAAAGTTAGGATACCACTCGTAGTTGTATAAGAGTGTACTTAAACTAAGACTAGATTAAGATTACGGATGATTAAGATTCCTACTAAAATCTGTAGGCTTTTATTTAAGACTAAATAAAAGACGGTGATGCTAACTAAGGTAAGAGAGGATTAAAAGATTGAATTGGTTTCGGTTGATTTGTTACGTATCATAAAAGATAGTGACCAATTCCGAGTCTACCAAAAGCCGTTGCGCTTTTGGCAGGTGTATAAATTAACAACTTAAAGGTCAACGATCAGTAAAGATCAGAGGTTAAATGAACAAACAATAATACTTTTACATTCCCCGCGAAAATTTATCTATAATCTATCCCTTTCGCCTCACAAGAGGAGAACAAAACAAAAGTAATTAAGCGCTAGAATAAATGACTAAGTAGGCGCATTGTCTAGGACCCCCGAGAGTGGATCTAGAACAGTAGGAACACAGACTTGGTAAAGCACCGAGGGCCAAGAAAGCGTATTGTATACTAGGTAAAATTGCACGGTTATCAGGTCGAAAGAGCGGGTGTACGGTACGGAAAAGACAGATGAACGGGCCCGATGGGCCGGAAAGCATGTTCTTCAGCAATAACAAAATTCAAAAACAAAGCACCTTAGATCGAATAGTATGTTTTCGTCGGGTGAAATAAATATAGACTGGTTACTATGGGCGAGCAAGAAACTGGAATAGCACCAGGGTAAATTGAGCAGTAAGGTAGGCAGGGAGTTATCCTTAGAATAGGCAAAATAAGTGGATAATACTAGCATGGATAAATCTAATGGTTATCCGGTGGTAGCGCCCAATGGGTGAAAAGAATTTTACCGACATTTCGGCGAAATTATATGGCTAAAGCAAGATTATAAGTGTTACCAATCATCTTTTTGGTTTAATATGACAGCACTGGAAGTTTGTATGACTCTATGGCAATGGAATGTTAATAGCATTCAACAATAAACAAGATACTAAAGGTACTAAAAGTTTTGTAATGAAGTTTTTGAGAGTTCATGAACGTTTATGATAACATCTGGATTGGAGCTCCTACATCTAATTAGTTTCCCGATTTGCTGCCTTGTTTATTGTCCATCTCCTTAACTCCTCCAGCGTCATTGGCCGTCCAAGGAGTTCTATCGCCGAAATGATAGAGGAGGTGTTCAGCCAGTCTGGGTCAGGTACAATGGGGACAAATGTAGAAGTTGAGGTTTCATAAGGTAGGCCCGATGGGTTAAATTTCGTGGAACAGACATCAGGGCTAAATTTGACTTTTCAGGAGTCTTTTGATCATCTGTTTTCGAGGGCTTCGGGTCACTTGGGTACGCATAGTTTTCTTCCCGCAAGTGAACTATAGTAGGACGCGATGATGAAGGTGGTGTTAATGTTGTCAGGTCTACTAGGTCGACATGATGGCTTTCCATTTCTACGGTAGTTGCTTCTAACGTTGAGCATGCTGAGACTAAACTAGGTGAACCAAATTCTGGAGCATCACGATCTTCATCAGTTAAATCAACTACACTGGTAAACACTCTCTCACCTAGCATCTTGGGAGGCTGCCTAGTTCGCATAGGTCTGGTGTTCTGACGTGTAAAAATTTCTGACAATTTTTTCGAGGGTGGTGATTTCATTGGTGATGACGCCTTTCTTTTAGCGGTACCGGACAATTTCTGTGTTTTCGTGGTACGGTCAGAGTGTATTTGTTTGGATTCCGTCCCCGCCATGGCGATTGGTTCTTCAGTCGACTTGGAAAACTCTCCTCCGGGATTCTCTGGAAGAAACGGCATTTCTTGACTCGCTTTATTGGCCTCCTCCACAGTGTCCAAGAGAATCAACTGTGGGATCGCTTGTGAGTCTCTTTCATTATCGCCAGAATCCAAGTCGATCAAAGGAATCGCATCTAAATCGACCTTCTGATCAACGTGGTCTGATATTTCTAGCTTAGGATCTGTTCGTTCGGAGATTAGGTGTTCGTCTGATTTTGTAGCTTCGAGTAATGTTTTATCCTTGAGGTCTTTTAGTGAAATTAAGTCGCTAGCATTGTCGTCTGAAATCTCTTCATGTGGTTCGATCATCACTCCGGGTTCATTTAAACGACTTTTATGAAGGTCGGGTTTGCCCGACGGGCTTGATTCTTGGTCACTTTCGAGGCCTATCGGGGTTCTCAGTCTCTTTCTCTGTTCTTCTTCCTCTCTGAGAAGAGTTTCCCTAGAGCTGTTCATGGCCGCGTTTCGTCTCGCAATATCAAGCTCTTCGAATTTCCACTGAAGATTTCTTTTCTTTTGGGTTGTTCTTGAGCTTTTAAATCCGACATTTCTTGGTGGTTTTGCAGTTTTCCTCAATCCTTTAGTCGCATAAAATCTAACCAGTTGGTCTCGTTTTCTTGGACTTGGTTTCTTCTGGGTGCACTGTCTTTTAATGGCTAAATCAGATTTACGTATTATTTTACCATTTTTTAAAGTCACAGTGTGATCTGATTCCCTTACGATTTCGTCCTTGAGTACTCTATAGTATGGTTCATTTTTCGTTCTATCTTGGATTTTTCGATAAACAATGGTCTTACCCGACGGGTTGTTCAGAATTGAGTCCTTTATGCCCAAGGCATCTCTTTTTTCTGACCGAGAGAGCACTTTTACTGGGGATCCAGCACTGGTTGGTACATATCTCACAGCATTTGAGATATCCTCCGAGGATGATGAGTTTTCATCAACTTCTCCATCTTCTATATCGTCGGGGGCGTCCCAGTCGTGTCTTCGCTCTCGGCTCATTAGTTTTTTGCCCTTATCTATACATAACAAAGTTTTATTCCAATCAAGGTTATTCGAAGAGGGTGATTTGACCAAATTATGCCAGATGGTGTTAGGGGATCTACCAAAATGTGCTTCGAAAGGAGAGCAGTTAAGCGACTGTTGGGTTACTGTTCTTAAGCATTTTATTATTTTCAGGAGTGCAGATTCTAGTGAAGGTTTTGGACGTTCTTGTGCCATAACCAAGAGTCTTTCCTTAATGGTCCTGATTAGACGTTCCACTAGTCCGGTAGCTCTATGATCACCCACTGGGCTAAATATCACCTTTATGTTGTGATCGTGTCAGAATTCTCTAACTTCCTTGGAGATAAAACCAGATCCTTGATCTGTTCTAATGGTTCTAGGTATCCCGTGTAAAGCAATGTATTTACTAAGGAAGTTTATGATAGATATCGGCTAGAACTAGGAAGTCAACGGCTAGAACTAGGAAGTCGTCTAAGTTAACCTCAAATTCGGGATTTTCCTGCGGGTTGGTCCGGATATTATCGTTTTCTTGGGGTACACGATTCTGATCGACGATGTTAGTTTGTGTTTTTGCTGAACTCCTACAGTGTTTGGCAAAATGTCCTTTCCGTCCACACGTATTGCAGTTTCTATCTCTAGCCGGGCATGTGGATAGGTGTCCTTTTTTGAATTGCCGACCGCAATTGCGGCATTTGTTATTTTCGACGATATTTAGGGTTGGTTCGTTCTTCACGTATTGTGGTCTTGGTCCTGGGTTGTAAGTTGGGAATTTTAGATACTGTTGATGGATTTTAGTACCTTTTTCGTGAACTAATACGTAAGATAGTACGTTTTCTGGGGTCAAGTATTCTATACATAGTTTCTTTTGGATCTCGACATTTCTCATGTTTGTGATGAAAATGTCTCTTACTAGTTCTGACTCGAGTTCCCCCAGTTTACAATTTTTTGCTAGTTCTGAAAGAATTTCATGGAATTTTTCTAAGGACTCATGTTCTTTCTGTCTTCGGCCAAAAAATTTAAACCTTTCGTATGTTAGGTTTGTAGTGATCGTGAAAGTAGTTTTTAATAGTTCCCAAAATTCTGCGAAATTGATATCCAGAATTCTTTTGCCAGGATTTTTATGGGAGAAGCATTTCTGTCCTTCTTTTCCGAGTGCTAGGTATAACTGTAATTTTAGCTTCTTGTCAATGTCTCCGATTTGAAGTCCGTTAAATTTGGCGTTATCTTCCGCCCTTCTCCTTCTTAATTCTTCGTTATAATTTTGTACTGCTACTCTGTGATGTTCCTCTTTTTCGGCCCGACGGGCCTGATCCTCGGATGGGTCCGGTGGTTCTGTCGTAGGGTAAGTTAGTTCGTTTCTTATCGGTGGCTTAATTACATCTTCGATGTCTACGGAGTCTTTCGCAATAATTGTCAATTGAAACTTTTCCGCCCACCTTTCCCAGTCATGTTGATTTTCGTTTGATGAGTTGTTCCAAAAAAACTCTAATCCACGTAGATTCGATTCGTTAGACTGCGCCATGTTAAAAAGTTAGGATACCACTCGTAGTTGTATAAGAGTGTACTTAAACTAAGACTAGATTAAGATTACGGATGATTAAGATTCCTACTAAAATCTGTAGGCTTTTATTTAAGACTAAATAAAAGACGGTGATGCTAACTAAGGTAAGAGAGGATTAAAAGATTGAATTGGTTTCGGTTGATTTGTTACGTATCATAAAAGATAGTGACCAATTCCGAGTCTACCAAAAGCCGTTGCGCTTTTGGCAGGTGTATAAATTAACAACTTAAAGGTCAACGATCAGTAAAGATCAGAGGTTAAATGAACAAACAATAATACTTTTACAGCAGCTGTTTTTTGGATCTTGCTTAAGCGTTCAATTCAATATCTCACGAATTTTTTTCAAAAAAATGAACAAATGGCTTTCTCAAAAGCGGCTGTAACACTTTTCGAAAAATCGTCAACAGGCACTATAATTGACAAAAAAAACTTACGAATAGGAAACCTTGAATCGTGGAGTGCCACAAGGGATAGTTCAAGGACGAAAAATTATTCTTAATTATGAAGCCCAAATATGTTTCCCATGGCCTATTTAGTCTGCATGTCATTTTTCATGACAATCGAACAATGTGAACAGTAATTATAATTATAAAAAACTGCAGTTGGGGGGAAAGGAAAAAGAGCCAAAATTACTGATTAAATTATGCAGTGATGCAATTTAATTGATTAAATAATCATGTAGTTAAATTATTCGGCTCTTTTTCCTCACCCCCCCCCCCCCCCCCCCCACCTGCAAAACTTTACAATGAAAAATTTGTTCACATTGTTCGATTGTTATGAAAATTAGCATACGGACTAATAAGGGCATGGCAAACATATTTGCTGTTCATAATTAACCTTGTAAAACCACTCGTTACACCATGAAATAGATGCTCGTGTGAGGTAGGGGGAAAAGGAAAAAGAGCCAATTATTCTCCTCAATAAACGAGTAAATACAAATTTAAAAAACATCTGGCTCTCTGTACTGACCATGATATGATCGACGTCTCGATCGTAGGATGCCCTGAGCTTGATTAGCATGGCTCTAGCTGCCTGAGTTGTCTTACTTCTCTCCCCGTCTATTGTGATGATTCTCTCCATTTCCGTTGCTCTAGAAACACAGAAAGCCTAGAACTCAATTTGGCTCTTTTTCCTTTCCCCCCCACCTGCAAATTTTTATGTTTGAAGTTACTGTTCACTTTGTCCGATTGTCATGACTAATTAGGCCATGACAAACATATTTGGTCTTCATAATTAACCTTGTAAAACCACTCGTTAGAGCATAAAAATCATGTTTGAGTGAGGTGAGAGGAAAAAGAGCCCTCAATTTAAAGCGCAGAAAGCATCCTAACATTTTGAAGCTTGTTAAAATTTGTAATCCACCCTCCGTTCATTATTAGACTAATCGGATAAAAAAAAACCATTTACTCCCCAAGTAATGTTCAAAAAGCACTATTAGAAACTTCAAGTTCAAGTAAGTCAACATTAGTGGAAAAGACTACCAGGAAAACCTATCAGAAAGGTTGCCTTGATATATATTTTTTCGTTAAATAAAAAGAAACAAATAAGCTGAAGAAAAAATGAAACCATAAATTAGGAACAATTTTACAAAAATCTAAGTAAAAAATGGCTAAAAAAACAAACTTTCTACTAAAACAAAAAAACTTAGCCAACAGAAAAGAGTTGATGAACACAGGAAAACAGGAAAAAAAACACGTTTTAAAGCTCATTGAATTTCAGGGATAGTTTATGATAGTTTCTTTGTACTAGAATTGATCCAAATTGAGAAAAATGAAAGAAGAAATTTTTCTCATCCCGCTGGGAAATCTATTAACCTATTCCTTAAATTCCATTTTCAAAAAGAAAGGCGTTTATGTTTTTTGCGCCATTTTATTTTTTAAAGGGAGGGGGTTCATTGCCTTCTTTTTTAGCAAATGAGTTTTAAATGAACTCGAAACAAAAAATTCAAAATAATACATGACACTAAATACACTAATCCGAAATAACTTTCAGAAATTTTGCAAAATCTCAGTAAGTGTCAGAAACCTTTTTCAAATTGCACCGGCCCTTACTTCCTCGCCATGCATCCTTAGGGGAGACATATGTCATCCATTTCCCTGTAGCCGATCCCACCTTGAGGAGGTGGATCACACAGGGACTCCCTCCAACCGTGACCAAAGCGCGATTAAAAAAGGACCTTCGAAATTGAAGACCGCGCCTCTTACCAACTCAGCCGCGGCTGCTCATCCCTTTTCATCAACATTGCACGAAAAGCTGATGGATGAAGAAAATTCTGTGCAAAATCAGCGAACATCAAGGAAAAAATGAAATCTCCTCAAAACCAAGCCGACCCAGTTTGATAAAAAAAAGAACGCGGCTGATTTTTTTCAAGGCGTGCAAATTGGTAATAAGTCTTAGAAAAAACTTTGATAAAAGCATCACAGCATAAAAAAATCATCAGTTTAAGCAAAATTTGAAAATTTGCTTAAAAGCATTTTAGCAGCTCAGACCAACCACTTTTTAATAAACCAAGAGCTGAACAAGCAGACAAAACTGATGGCCAATAAAAACTGGCGAAATTCAAAATAACGGATAAAAATATTGAATTGACATTGAAAGAATAATATTGAAATATTGAATGAACAATAGAAGGCTAACCTCTTTAAATCGGGCTAAATATGAACGATGGTTCAAGCCTCCTAGCCACAAACGGTTTCTGATTGGCTTCTAATTAACTACATAAACACTACATGGGCGAAACTCTGAACGCTCCGACAGCATTTAGTGTGAGTCAATTTTTCTATCTAAGGGTCCTTAAATTTATAAATCAATCGAATGAAACCAAATATTTTTGATTTGAGTCTAGTCCGGAGTATAAGAATCAGTTAATCTGTCTCGATTCGATTGGTTACAAACTTCAGCGCGGAATACATCCATGTTCTATATGTGAAATATATCCCCAGGTTCTCAAGTGTTCAGCGTCTACATGGGTAACACCCGATACCTCGGCCAATGGGACACAATATACCCTCTATCTCTCTGTCTTTTTTATTGTTTGCGAGCTGCACATTCCGGCCACTCTGCTCCACAACTTTCTCCTCAGAGCCGGCATTGAATCAAACCCTGAGCCAAAGTGGCCAAGCGGAGTCTGCACAAAGCATTTAGCCTGGAACTCCTAATCAGTCCTCTGCAACAACTGCAAGCACTGGATCCAATTGAAGCCCTCAGGGGCTTGAACAGCACAAAAGACAAAGACATTTTTGATGAAGAAAATGTACAACAACCGAATCACAACCAGACCCCCATCCGCACCCACCGTCTTCAAAGAGCACACCGTAGATTTCAAGATTCTCCAACTGAATTGCAATGGACTCAGAGGGAAAACCGACGTGACCCTCCACCGCAAGGAGGAGAAGAATGTCTCAATTGCAGCACTTCAAGAGACCAAATTACCCAAGAGCAGCACAGTATCCACGCTCTGTTTCTCGGAGACATTAACACCCACAGCGAGATCTGTGACACAAAAGGAACCACAGACACAAAGGGCGACAAATTGCAGAAAAAATCATCGTCTTTGACTGGGTCATAATGAAAGAAAATGTCTCTACCTGCTTTCCGGCAAATGTCCCAGAAACCTCTACCGTCATCTCACTGGCAAGTAGCGACATTGCCACAATTGCCTAGTGGGCCGCCATGACAGAGCTAACCTGCGGCCACCCAATCTGCGGCAGTCTTCATCTCGAGGAACACAAGACATTCGTCAACCCCAGAAGATGTTTCAGAATCTTTGCCAAAGAGAGAGAAGGCGAACATGATAAACTCCAGCGCCGTCGTGCTGCCATCAGTGGCGACAAGAATTTCAGGCACATCGTGAACAAGGCTTCTGACCACATCCCTCGCGGAAGAGTGAAAAACGTCGAGCTGAGCCGCCTTCTGACTGAAGCCTCTGAGCTGCAAACCTGTGCGATAGACTTTGCACTGACAACCCTTCTGACCCAGGTATTGCGGCTTTGAATGCTAGAAGCACCAAAATCGTCAACGACGACAAGCAAGACAAGCAAGTAGAAAGAAGCTTCTCTATGCGCACAAAATCGGCGCATATCTGGAAACACTGTCAAGCAAATCAGACAGTAAGCTTCTGCTCCTGACAACAAAGGTATCAGCTTCCAAGGCAAACCTTAAACGACTCGAGCAACCTCAGCAACATGTTTGGCAAACAGTTCCGCTCATCAAGCATTAGATCCAAAGGATGTCACAACCTCCGCAAAATCAGAAGACAAACCGCCAAGATCCGTCTGAACAACGTTACAACACAAACACCAGAAGATGTGGAACAAACAATTAAACGTGCCAAGCCCTCGAAAGCGGCTGGCCCAGATGAGATCATCAGCCTGTACCTGAAAAAACTTGGACCTCTCGCCGTCAGTTATTTGTGCAACACTTTCCAGCTCTTCGCCATCTGCAGAAAGTCCGTAATTCTTCTTCCCAACCCTGGTAAAGAACATTCTGTGGGCAAAAACTGGATACCCAACAGCCTGCTCTGTGTTAAAACCAACATCATGGAAAGAATCGTTCTGTCTCAACGAGAGCGCCTGTGTTATAACCGACACAGCAAGACTTCTGCAAGCATCACTCAGCCAACACAGCCCTTCACCACATTGTCGCCGATATCACCAACGGTTTCAAGCAGAACAACTCTGCCTGGACCATAGACCTCGATCTCACAGCTGCCTCGCCGATTGCGTTCTGCTCAATCAAGCTCCGAACAGCGTCAAACACTGGATAATTAACTACTTGCAGAACAGATCGCGGGAAAAATCTAGGCCACGCGAAATGCATGCTCGTATTTTCGAAGGCGAAGCCCTCTCGCCTTTTTGATTCAACTTATAGATGGCTGACTTTCCAGTGCCTCGTGAAGGAATCAAAGGTATCTACGCCGATGAAATGACAATCTACACGTCGTCGGGTCCCAACCCAGATGACCTTGTTGACAATCTCAACAGCTACATCGAAACAAGGCGCAGCTTTTTCCAGCCAGTAAACGTCAACAGCTTCGAAGTCGACAGTTACTTTTTCACACTTCAGTGTGCTCAGGCAAACAAAAATCGTCAGGTTCTCGAGCAAGGCAGCATGCTGAAACTTGCAAAAACGCCGAAGGTACTTGGAGGTCCACTCGACATGATGCTCTTGTTCGGACCGCACATAAAAAATTGCAGCCAAAGCACCAAAGATCAATGCAATCTTGAAATCAGGCCTGCGCTAAAAGTACGAAAACCAGCTACCGAATAGAAAAATCGACGGAAAAGAAGCAATAAAACTACAAAAAAAAATAATACGCACAGACCGGCAACGAAACCAACAGAAACCTCAGACCGAATCCTGCCTTTGTAAGCGCACTGCCAGAAAAACAGGAAAAAGAGAGTTCTTTACCAACAGCAAGCAGACTATGCCAGGCACAACTCAAAACCGAATACTGTCATATTTCAAACACAAGAACTAATGAACAAGAAATGCCGAGAATTGATGAAGAAATAGAAGACGTCTACCCAAACTGTAACAACCCCGGTCTTACAAAGTAACTACGAAAGACAATGTGTACGAATGTACATCAGTTGTTATTACAGACTTTTCGAAAAACAAACTAAAACATCAAGAATTATGTAAGAGTCTTCAGAATTGTCAGAAAAACCATTTCAATTAGGTTTTCGCGGAGTAAAACTAGGTTTTCGCGGCATAAATTAAGCTTTTGTAAGCTGAAAAACTATGAAAGTAAGCTATTGTAAGCCTACAAATTAAGACTTAAAATCAAAAACTTGAAACCTGTTTTTCTCGATATTGCTACAAAATTTTAATAGCCGATTACTGTCTAAGGAGCACAGTATGTTCCAACCAAAGTCCTAAAAAACACAAAGATTGTTTTTTAGCAAGTTACGACAAAAGGAGCTGAACAAAAACTAGAACATAAGCATATTCGACAATCATAGTACAATAGGCAAGCTGGAGAACAGTTGTAAATAAAAATTACACAAAAAAATCGTAAATCAAAAAAAATTCTTCCTGCTTTAAGTTTTGAACTTCTGATTTCCCAAATGGCGCTAAAAACTCCAAAAA